TGTTCACGCCCTTCTTGAATGTGCTCTTTCTTGCGCCTGAACGTCGTACGCCTATGGACCATCTTCTCGCGTACCTTTGCGCACCTCCATGCGCCACCTCGCATACGAGCTTTTACCCGTCTCTTAGGCCATGCATGCATTGTTTTGGCTCTTTTTCCGTCCTCATCGAGTTGTCCCGGCTCTTGGCCCTTCTTGTCGTCGGGGCTCGGAACCCACTTCCGTATCATTCCCGCCCCCTTTGAGAATGTCCTTGCCCTCAAGGACTCGTCCTCGACCATCCAAACATCGGGCACCTCTTCGATCTCGACCTCGATCGAGACTTCACTCTCGACGTCGACCTCCTCTTTATACGCACCGTCCTCCTTGTGCTCCACGTCACCATGGACCTCCTCAACCACGACCAAGATCTTCACTTCAACCTCGGTTACCTCGATCCCGGCTACCACATACTCGGCGTCCTTCTCTTCAACGTAGCCCGGCGAATCGATCGTACACATGGACTCCTCGCACTTCTCTTCGATCACTTCATCCTCCACGCACGTCTCCTCGCATGATTCTCGGAGCTTCTCTTTGGCCTACGCTTGTTGCCTCTCCTCAAACTCCTTTCGCTCGTGAAGCTCCTCCAAAAGCTCTTACTCCCATGGAGTCAAACTCCTCTCCAAACCTTCGAGATATTCAAGATCCTCGAGATCCATCTCGTCCAATGGCTCAAACATCAACATGACTCTCTTCATATTTTTTTTTAAGACTCTAAAAAAAATAATTCGAACAAAGTCGAACCAAAAAGAAAAGAAAAACAAAAGAAATTCGGCCCCTTCAACAAAAAGGTAATAACCGAAAAAAATCAAACAAAGGACTAGATGACACCTTTTTTTTTTTTACTCACGATTTTTTTTCGAAAATTAAGGGATAAAATTCAAAAAATTCGAACAAAGACTAAAAAAAAATCAAACAAAAGAAAAAGAATGGGATAGGAAAAGTTCACGAACACCCAATCGATCACTCTCAATGAAAGCACCAATGATGACGGATCGGGTGTTGCGTTCCCTCGACTTGTCTCGATCACGGCTTCCCACGGCCTTGCTCTCGACGATAGGTGTGATCGACTCGGTTATTAGCCTAACTCTCTCACGATACTTGAGTTCACTCGGGTATTAGCCTCGCTACACTCTCGAAATAGATCGGGTCTTAGCCTCTCTAATTCGTTGAAATGGCTTGGGTCTTAGCCTCACCAATTCGGTTGCATGACCGAATTCTCACGAACCCTAACACACGGTTTGAACAAACGTTCCTTTTTCTATTTCATCAATTCTCTTCTCTTGAAAAACAATGAGGGATCATCCCTATTTATAGATCCTAACTATGACTAATTCTAATCTACCTAGGAAACATATTAAAGTAATAAAATATTAAATATCCTAAACAATTTAGATCTTCTAATGCAATAAGAAAACTAAATATCTAGGAGATCTTGTGCCTTGACTTGCACTCCAAGTATCTTGTGAA